ATTATTTTATTTTATTTTGCACCACTCCGTAGTAATTTTATGTCAATGCTTTACTATGCACAAAAGCAGCACGATGGACATGGAACGCGCCCAACAATTGTTATGTTGGCGGTATTGACTGTTTTTTAAAAAGTTAAAACAAGGCGGTAGGTCTAGAAAAGATGATCATATCACTTTATCACTAAGTACTTGTATTGTTAATGTTTTTTGCGTTATAATGTTTATGTGAGTCCACTGTGCGTGTGTGGTTTTTAGAAGCAATTAACAGCTATTGCACTATATTCAATATCGTAGCCACACTTAATACACCGATTTATAATTTTTATACCGGAAGGGGTAGGCAGAGGTACACATTTTGGCACTTAATGTAACACCCACAATCCCACATTTCACTATTTTATGTTCTGAGTCCCATTAATAGGGAGTGAGTCTATTGCCATATATCGGGCACAATTCCAGACTCCGCGGTACAACTGGGTATTTTTTTTAAACTCAGTAATACTTTGTTCGACCCGGGGTTCAAACTACGACCTCCTTGCCTTGTAGTCACTTGCGACCACTCGGCCAACGAGGCACTTTTTTCATATATTTAATCTTGACAGTTCAAGCGTTTTTTTTTAAGGGGTGAAAATCATCGAATGACTGCTCCCGCCTGGGTGAGCGTCAGACTCTTACTGACTGAAAACCACCCCGTTCCTTCTCCTGCACGTCGAGCCGGAGCCCCGGTTACGCGTTAGGTTCTCCGCGACGCAGTTCAAGCGTTATGGGCAGGTTATCATTAGAAACCGGATAGAAACGTCCTCTGTGAAACCAGCAGCTGTAGCCAAACGCCATTTAGCGGTTGTCTACGTGTAGAACACAAAACCAAATTATATGGGATTGACGTAAATTTTGACACATGTCAGTGTCATCCCCATACATTTTTTTTAAACATTGTCCCACTTTAGGATTTTCTCCTGTGTCGTGGGTGCGTTTACAAACATACAAGTTCACATACACAATGACACCCAGACCCGAAACAACAATATGTGGATCACACAAAGAGTTGTTCCGCAGCCGTTGCCCAGTTGCACGGCAGCCGGTTGCCCAGCTACCGCACCAACCGTGCAGTCATTTAGTTTTCTACTCTCTCTGTAGACAAGCGCTAAAGTGGCGTTTGACTAAAAGCACTGAACCTTTTAAACTGCGACTTGTAACATGCCTGTTAAGCATTAAACTGTCAAACACCAAGAGGTCACCGGTGACCGCAACCTTTGTTCTATAATTGTGTCTATAATGAAGGTACTCGACGAGTTAAGATCATGACGAGAACTCTTATGTAGAGGAGGCCCATGGTCCAATAGTTGATGGTCTATTCGGGCTAACGTTTTGGTCGCCACATGAAGAAAAAGGAAAAAAGTCGTTTTTTGTCCAATCATAGCAGCTGACGAGTATTACACCAATGGACGGTGCACAAGCTCGGTAGTAACAAATGGGTGTACAGCGGCATTAAGTGCCGTAATGTGCACCTCTGCCTACCTCTTCGGGAGTAAAAAGCGTGATATTATGTGTTTAAAAAACTGAAAGTCAAACCTTCACTAGCGTCAGTCACCGGTGACTGATGTGGCTATACTATTGTCACTTTATATGACTTCCAAACGTTATCTTTTTGTTGTTATTATGGCCGAAATTAACCTTTTGAGCGCCAATGTCACATATACGCGACAAGCGAAAACTGTCCCTGGACGTCAACGACACAAATACATGACAGAAAAAGCGGAACCAGAAACACGAATTATTGGAATCCCTATTGTTGATACAATAGGGATTCCAATAATTCATATTTCTTTCGTAGAAATTTGCGTGGAATTTGTGGCTTGGTGTCGAAGGCAGGTTCATGTGTTTTTGCTCTGGCGTTCAAAAGGTTAAAACCTTTCGATTTTTGAATTTTACCGATTTTTAAAGAAAAATCGCACTCGTTAAAATCGAACTCGATTTTTAACATTTAGGTAGTTTGTGTCAAAAACTTCGAATCTATCTAGAGAATACTTATACAGATAATACGACCAATAAAACGACACCCACGGCAAAAGTAGACATTCTTTTTGTTTTTTAAACGTTGCCCTACACTAGGATTTTCTCCTGTATCGTGGGTGCGTTTACAAACATACAAGTTCACATACACAATGACACCCAGACCAGAAACAACAATTTGTGGATCACACACGGTTGCAAAGCCACCGCACCAACCGTGCAGCCGTGCAGACATGGTGACAAAATATATTATACTCCTTCGTCATCATACATAATTAACGTCATTCAATCAACTAGTCAATAATTTGCTTGACATCCAAGACTGAAGTAATTGCTAGAGTAAGGAATGCTAAACACCATGACGTCAAAGGTGTAACAAGATACCAATTTTGAATGTATGTATGTGTGTGTCTGTGTGTGTAATCTGTCATTGTTAACCTACTTTAAAAATGGAGATTGCCAGTTTGCTTGTGTGTATGTTTATATGTTTGTGCGTGATTATCTTGCAATTGGATGAACCGATTTTGATGGGGTGTTCAGAATAGTGTTTGTTACATTTAGAATATGTCAAAATGATATAACTTAATAGTCACAAAATAGGGTAGATGATAATTTTTATTTTAATGTCCGTCTGGTAGACTATTTAAAAACATTAGACACGTATTTTTTATTTTCTTAGGGAAATGAATAGTTTCGAAGATATATTGATTTGAAATATCGCAAGACGTCACTTTTGAGTACGATTTATACTCTAAAGTGGTCGCGGAGAACCTAACGGGTAACCGGGGCTCCGGCTCGACGTGCAGGAGAAGGAACGGGGTGGTTTTTAGTCAGTAAGAGCCTGACACTCCCTCCCGCCTCACCCAGGCGGGAGCAGTCATTCGATGATTTTCCCCCCTTAAAAAAAATACTCTAAAGTGACGTAGATACGGAACTCCTAATCTTTGATTCGTTTCATCAAAGTACATATTGTTTTCTTATACGAAAAAATAAAATATTCGTGTCTAATATTTTTTTCATTACCTAACTGACGGACTAATGAGATTTTTAATTTTCATACCCTGTCATCATCCCTATTGTAATTTGTGAGCATCTTAATTATTAGGATTTAATAAATAATTTTGTTGAGAACTTATAGCACCGACTTCTAACCTATCACAGTACTAATACCTAATAGTTTTTTGTTTGTTATTCGTTTTTGGTTTTTTGAAGTCGTTTTTTTTTAATTTAAATGAGACCGGTGAAAAGTTGGCGTTACATTTTTATCTCTTCATCTATTAAACTGTCAAATACCGCGAGGACGGTACTCAATAGGTTAAATAGTATAGCGATGGATTACTGCATTGTCTTATACGTTACAAACAGACATAACGAGTAATTCTCTGAGTCAGTCATGCTGAAATACTCAAATTACCGTACCACTTGCACCAAGTAGGTACCTAGGTAGTCTGCACATTGCTTAATACAAAGTCAGCCATTTTTTGCTAACTTGTCAATGCGCATTTTATATTTTGTTTGTGTTAGGAAATTTAGACTATTATACTTGTATTTGTCCAGTGATATAGAATAGTAATTAGCAGTGAATATTATGTGTCATTCAGTTTTTATAGCAAAGTCTTTTAATTGAGTTTTATTTGGTTTTTATAGTGTCTGGTTTGTGTTATTGTTTCCGTAAGTGTCTAATGATATGCTAGTTAGATCTTGCAAAAAAGCTACCTATTGTTTTATAGGAAATAACATTTTCCAAGGCCGCTATGTAATGCGAAATTTTTATCTTTGTGGATAAAAATAGGTGTAATTGAACAATATTATGAATCGTTTTATTAATTAAACTGTCAAACACCAAGCGGTCACCGGTGACCGCAACCTATTGTTCTATAATTGTGTCTACAAAACCGGTACTCGACGAGTTAAATTAAAATAATCTATTTTTCCTATGGTTACGGTACACGTTATGTGTAGTTATTTATAGTATGTATATTAATTCTTTTTTAAATTGATTCATTGTTTTTTCTTTTTTTTTTCAATATGTATTAGGTAGTAATACATAGTACCTATTATTTTCCTTTCACAATATTTTGCATTGCTTCCGCCCGTGCGTCAAGGGTACCAGCTGAAAATCAGTGTTGAGTACTTTCTGTGCCCAGCTCATACTGAGTTGGCAAGCCCTTTTGTCATGGTCATGTTGCGACCTTGTTGTTCTTTTTATAATTTTTTAAGTAGTTTTTTGTAGTAACTATTGTTACTTTATGTTTGCGTATTTGGTGCACCATGCCTAATGGCAATTAATTATTTTTCTTTCTTTCAAACATAACACCAAGTCTTTACATCCTCACAAGATTAGACAGAAGTGCAAATTACAATACCTATACACTATACACGGTGACTGACAGATTAACTTATACTTTTGTGTCAAATTTCTCCATTACATTGTATTAGTAATAAAGTCAAAAATTCAATGAATATATTTGATAGATTAAAGCAAATTGATTTGCTTGCCACAGTATGAGTTAGTATCCTAAACTTATAAATAAATAGTGAAAAATGGATGTTACATTGTACAGTGGCATTAAGTGCTGTAATATACACTTCTGCCTATCCCTTCGGGGATAAGAGGCGTATTGATATCTTATGTACTAAATGTAATTTGATCTAAGAAAAAAATTGACATTGGTATGGCTATGCAAACGCAAACTGAATGTTGTTACGTTATATCACATGTAATAAATATCATTTTGCTTTATTTAAACTAACTAGCTACTTCCACGCGGTTTCACACGCTCTGCTCAGCTTGTATAGGACGTAGCGTGATATTTTATAGCCTATAGCCATCCTCAATAAATACACTATCCAACACAAAAATAATTATTCAAATCAGACTTGTAGTTACGGCGATTAGCTCGTTCAAACAAACAAACAAAAAAACAAACTCTTCCGCTTTATATAATAGTATAAGATGAGATATAAGATATTTTAACTTTTTTCAGAAAAGACGATCTCGGAAGTTATTTAACTAAAAAAAAAGATTAAAGTACCACGATGGACGACACAATCAGAGAACCGGAAGATCACTTCATAAGATTCGTACCAGAAGTAGTAGAAGAGATAAGAAGAGAACATAACTTTGATAAGAAAGAGGATAGAGACGAAGCTATCGCTATTATAGAAAAATGGTTGAAATCACAGGATCATTTAGTGAAAAAAGATTTTGGTAAGTACTTACTTGGCATAATGCCTTTTTGACACAAATCTGTCACACCCTCCCAAAACCGCTGCAACTCCTGTAAGCCAGGGTCTCAGTAGATATCTACAACCATGAAAACACCGGAACACTCAAGTCCGATTGATTGATCAACTGAAGTTCCAGGGACATGAATAACTGTCTTGGTTCCCACAACGAAATAACTCAGAAGGTATTAATAGAGGAAAAGCAATAAAAACTATAGTTACGCCTTTTATTTATGGGATAAGCTGGCTAACGAGCAGACGGATCACCTGATGGTAAGCAATCGCCGTCGCCCATGTACACCCAGAACACCAAAGGCGTTTCACGTGCGTGACCAGCCTTTTAGGGAATTTGCAGATTGTTGAGTATTCAGGGATTGGGGAGATTGGAGAGTGGGGGGTGCTAATTTAGTCTCCGGTAACCTCTCTGTCTCACACGACAAAACATAACGTAAGCGTTATTTCACGTCGGTTTTCGGTGAGGCCGTGGTATCACTCCGGTCGAACCGACGTATTCTTGCCGAAGCAAGGCTCTCCCACTTTTATCCTTCTCACTTCTAGACCCAGCCGGAATTTCTCTTAACTCCGTGTCTCCGTGATTTAGGTTTATATAGGTTATTGTAGGTACTAATCAGTTATTTTATTTCCAGATAGAGCCTACCTAGAGAGGTGTATAATAACAAGCAAGAGTTCTCTAGAAAGGACAAAAAAACAGATTGACAAATTGGCCACGTTCAAAACGTTAGCTCCAAAGTACTTCCAAGTTACAAACATACTTGATAGTGAAGTTACTCCTATTTTACATGCTGGGTGAGTACAAAAGTGATCGTATGTTAATTATTGGGTACAATTCCGACTGTTTGGGAGATTTCTTGGGCTGTATAAATGATGATACTATTCAAGGTATAGGTACCCGAGCGTACGGCGCGTCGCGTTCCGCGCGCGCCTCAAAGAGCCATCAGACCACCGCAGATGGGGCCCAATATGGCCGATGCCGATTCGGAGTCGCGGAGAACCTAACGGGTAACCGGGGCTCCGGCTCGACGTGCAGGAGAAGGAACGGGGTGGTTTTTAGTCAGTAAGAGTCTGACACTCCCTCCCGCCTCACCCAGGCGGGAGCAGTCATTCGATGATTTTCCCCCCTTAAAAAAAAAAA